TTTTTTCTATATATTTTTAGTCGTCCAGCTCATTTCTTTCTATTTTTTTTAGTAGAGACGGGGCCTCGCTCTTGGGCTCAGGCTGGCCTCGACCTCCCGACCTCGAGCGCGGTCCTCCCTCCTCGGCCTCCCTCCCAGAGTGCTGGGCCGACAGGCGTGGGCCTCCACCGCGCCCGGCCTGGGGCAGGGGGGTGTTGATCTTCCTCCGGATGAGAGTCTCGCCGGAAAGTCCTGTGATTCTCAGGCTGGGCCGGCTCGGGACTCGGGTCACGCCCGGGCTCCCGGGTCCCCCGATGCCCAGCCGGGCGGGCCTCGTTTTGGAGGCCGGCGCCTGCGGGTGACTCTCTCCTGTGTTTCCTTCCTCTCAGATCTTTGCGAGCATCGCCCCTTCCATCTACGGCCACGAGGACATCAAGCGGGGCCTGGCGCTCGCCCTGTTCGGCGGGGAGCCCAAAAACCCAGGTGACACGCCGCCCGCCTGCCGCCGCGGGGCTGGGGGCACCTTCCCTTTTCTTAAGATTCTCAGTTATTTATTTTTTTGAGGCAGAATCTCGCTCTGTCGCCCGGGCCGGAGTGAGCACCGTGGCGTCGGCCTCGCTCACAGCAGCCTCCGACTCCTGGCCTCGAGCAAGCGAGCCTCCTGCCTCGGCCTCCCTCCCGAGTAGCTGGGACGACAGGCACGCGCCACCACGCCCGGCTCATTTTTTCTGTATATATTTTTATTTATTTATTCGTTTTTTCGTTTTTGTTTTTTTTCTTTTATTATACTTCATTCTCATGCTTTCAAAACCATGTATATTTTTAGTTGGCCAATTAATTTTCTTTCTATTTTTAGTAGAGACGGGGTCTCGCTCTTGCTCAGGCTGGCCTCCAACTCCAACTCCTGGCCTCAAGCGATCCTCCTGCCTCGGCCTCCCTCCCGAGTAGCTGGGACGACAGGCATGCGCCTCCACGCCCGGCTCATTTTTTTCTATATATTTTTATTTGTATTTATTTATTTTCCCTTCTTTTATTTATTTTTTCATTTTGTTTTCTTTTATTATACTTCATTCTCGTGCCTTCAAAGCTATATCTATTTTTTAGTTGGCCAATTAATTTTTTTTTTTTTTTTAGTAGAGGCGGGGTCTCGCTCTTGCTCAGGCTGGCCTCCAACTCCTGACCTCCAGCGATCCTCCCGCCTCGGCCTCCCAGAGCGCTGGCATGACAGGCGCGAGCCACCACTCCGGGCTCATTTTTTGTTTCAATATTTGTAGTTGGCCGATTAATTTCTTTCCATTTTTAATAGAGACAGGGTCTCACTCTTGCTCATCAGTCTGGCCTCCAACTCCTGACCTCGAGCGATCCTCCCGCCTCGGCCTCCGTCCCGAGTAGCTGGGACTCCAGGTGTGCGCCTCCACGCCCGGCTCGTTTTTTTTTTTTTTTCTATATGTTTCTAGTCGTCCAGCTCATTTCTTTCTATTTTTTTTTAGTAGAGACAGGGGGGTCTCGCTCTTTCTCATCTGGCCGGCCTCCACCTCTTAACCTCTAGGGATCGATCCTCCCTCCTCGGCCTCTCAGAGTGCCGGGATTTCAGTCGAGCCACCCCGGGGCCTCCCCGTCCGGCCTCCCGTCGTGCCCCTGGCGGCTCCCTCTCCTCGTGTCCCCGTCGCCCTGTTCCCACCCCTTCTTCCCGCCCTTTAACGTCCCCGGTCCCCGTCCCAGGCGGCAAACACAAGGTCCGGGGCGACATCAACGTCCTGCTGTGCGGGGACCCGGGCACGGCCAAGTCCCAGTTCCTCAAGTACGTGGAGAAGGTGGCGGGCCGCGCCGTCTTCACCACCGGCCAGGGCGCCTCGGCCGTGGGGCTCACCGCCTACGTGCAGCGCCACCCCGTCAGCCGCGAGTGGACCCTGGAGGCCGGGGCCCTGGTGCTGGCCGACCGCGGCGTGTGTCTCATCGACGAGTTCGACAAGGTGCGTCCCGTCCCCCGCGTCCCCTCGGGCTGTCCCCGCCGCCAATGCGTAGCTGGCGTTTGGGGGACACTGAGGCGCAGGGGGATGGTGTGGTGACACGGGACTCTCGTCCCCCCTGCAGATGAACGACCAGGACAGGACCAGCATCCACGAGGCCATGGAGCAGCAGAGCATCTCGATCTCCAAGGCCGGCATCGTGACGTCCCTGCAGGCCCGCTGCACCGTCATCGCGGCCGCCAACCCCATAGGTGCCAGCCGCCGGCGGGTCTGGTG